AAAACTAAACATTTCTAATGCTGACACTCACATTTTTGAAGGAATCACAAATACATTCTATTTTAGGGAGATAAAATATGGTATGTTATTCCTTCCCTGGATTAACTCAGTTCCTATTTCTCAGTTACCTGAAAAACTTAAAAGCAGACGAACTGACTGATGTTAATATTTAATGACCTATATAGTTTTTTGAGAGAAATAAAGTAATCTTTATTCAGTAAGGTCTTACATAGCATAAAAAATCTACAAATCAACCATGAACTCATATGCGTGTATGCATAGCTCACGTACACAGCCGTGTGCATGTTTTAAAGGTTATGTGGCCAGCGTTGACTGCCAAAGCGCCAAGTCTCAGCTCAACCACACAGTCTTTTCCAGAGAAGCTCCTGGAAGAAAAGGTGACCTTTCTCATAACATCCTGGGGGGGTGGCGGGCGTGGTGGGCCAGGGGGTAGCCGGCAGCTCCTCTGGGCGCGCAGCAGACACAGTGCAGCTCTTGGGCCTCCGTTCTGGCACTGGGTTAATTGACAGCAGTTTACCAGGAAATTGTTGATAAGCAGGTAGCGTTCAAGTGCCCCAGATTCTAATTCTTACAGAAAATTATTTTTCAAAGGGAAAAATCATCACAATTTCTACATCAAAACGAGACTCTCCTGACTCTGTCCGCCCGCGTGTCGTGTGGTTTAACTTCAGCAACATCCCGGGTCAGCGCGTGAAGATGGGAGGTGGCCCCAGGGCGCAGGCACAGCGCGGGGCCCACACAGACACGCATCGTGACCACACAATCCAGAAAAAAAGCAGAACACGAAGCGAACGTGGACTTGGATTTTTAATTTTTTTAAAGATTAATTCTCTATATATTAATAAAAAGTGCAAAGAACATGTTTAAATTATATTCTGAAATAAAACATCTTTCCATCAACTGCAGGAGACAAGCGGCAGGAGCCGAGCCCCCTCCGCCGACCGTGCGCCCGAGGACAGTGCTCAGGGCCCTGACCGGGTCTGGGTGCTCTCGGGAGCCGTTCGTGTCGGTTCCGTCCAACACGACACGGAAAACCAGACACACATGGGCAGCGCGGCCCGGGCCCCGTCGGTGGTACAGCTCCTGCGAGGCATCTCTGCTCATGTGACGCCCCCGACAACACGTGCCGCCCTGGGCCGAAACGCTGGGCTAGAACTGAACTTCCATTTTGTTATGTAAACAACATTTTAAACACGGCATAGTAACATTAGGCCCTGTTACACATAGCTCCTGTTTTGGGTTGATTTTCATCAAAAGGTTTAAAAGAAACAAGAGGTTATAGAATACCTGCTGCTTTATGTATTTATGGCAATGGTGGCAATAGGTTGCAGAAACAATAGAAACTTCTAATAAAAAAGACATAGAACTCGGAACTTTTTTTCTTTAAAACATTCTGGGATATTTCAAATCAAAAAATTGATTTCTATGTGGTTTCAGCAGCTACATGCTCACATATCAAAAGGGTCCCTTGGTTTTGGTTTAGATTTCTTTGATTACTCCTTTCCTTTTCCATAACTGAAAGAATGTCTATTTTAGAAAAGACAGGTTTTATACACTGTGCGGTAGCAACCAAGCTGTAATACTGGCTATGATGGCATTGATCACAGATATGCTCTCAGTAATATGCTCTCGCTGAACCTGGAGATGTCAGTTTTAAAATACAGAAAAAGCAGCAATCAACTATGCATAACTTGTAGACTCAAAGGTCCATGGTGTCTTCCCTCCTTGGCCTGTTATAAAAATAATTTTGGTTACAAGTGTCTATGCAGCACCAATTTTATTTCAAAAGAAGCATCTTTACTCAGCCACCCAAACAAGTCTACAAGTACACATGCTCAATCGCTTTTCTCACTTCTGTAACTCTAAAAGACCGGTCATTGTATTAGATTTTGTCTCAATCAAAAATTATTCAGCAAGTTTTAAAACTATCCATTACAATGCCCTACAACACACACACCCACAGGTAAAGGAGCAGTCCCTTGACATGCGAGTGTGATGGACATACACCTGCAGTCGGTGGCAGGCCTCTACAGTACAAAAGCATTTCATAGAACTCTGTCATATATAAAATAGCTTACCAATTGTGACCATCCCACTTATGATTAAAGCATAACCCACGTGTTCCCTCTGCCTTCTGTGGGGGACAGTCAGGGGCCACACAACCTCAAAAAATAAGGGTGCATCTATCTCCTTGGCTGACAAAAGCAAAAGGCTCAGCTATAGTTTCTCTCTCAAACTCGCCTGCACTCATGCACACATACACAAAGCCTCCACAGTTTTCACCTTCATGACACTAGGGCCACACTTTTGCCCACTTCCAAAAATAATGCCGGGAAATCGTGGTTGCAAAATAATGACTCTTGTCTGCGCAGCATGGCCCCCACAGCCCATGTTCTGACTGGGAAGGACCGAGTCCGGAGAGGAGACGAGGTCTCATCATCATCGCAATCCCTTTGGTTTCCACCTTTATTTACTGTTTCGGTGAATATAGATTGGACTCGGGAGGCCTGAGTCAAAGGCTTTACAAACACTGAACCTGAAGTGCATAAGAGAATAAATTTCTGCTATTATGGCATAGGAAAATTTAAAAAGTAATAGTAATAAACACAACACCATTTACATAAAGAATTTACAAGCCGCCTAAGGAATTTCCTAAGACATTCACAGGAGTGGTGGAAGCATGTTAAAAGGCCAAAAACCATCCTAATGATTACATTCTCTGAAAATCCTGCCTGTGCATGCCTCCTGCCCGCCTGTGCGAAGTCTCTCTCTGTATACACGGTGGACCAAGAAAAACACATTATAAGCAAGAGCCTGCACTGACTGACAAAGGAATAGAACAAATCAACACTGCAGAGCAGGGAAGGAGCTAGATCTCAAAGACAGTGCTTTAATATGCTTCTGCAAAGCTCTGACGTGGAGGCAATTCTGAAGTTTGAACACTTGTACGTGACTCATCAGTCAGAGGGGTGCTGCGGGGGCAACTAAGTGAAACTGTGAGACCAGGAGAACCCTCCATTATGGCTCCTCCAGGTCCCAGGCGAGAACCGGAACCAGCGCTCCTCCAATGCTAGTTCCCACCTTTCCCTGCCAAGTGCAGGGGCAGGGCCTTCACATGACAACCCCGGGGAGCCTCACAGCGCCCGCCCCATGCACCCCCGGGCGCCCCACTGCACTCATGAGCTCGCCCTCAGCTGTGCATGTCTCTAGGGTGTCTTCAAAAGTCAGGCCTCTATTTTCAGAAGCTTAAAGTCATGACAAAGAAAGAGTCAATCAGCAAAAATAAAAACCTCTGGGATCTGACTATTCCATGTTATGAGAGCCAAGGCTGACCCAATGTGTGATGAACATTAAAACAGACCAGCCTGCTCTGTCGGGCTGTGTCCTGGAGCTGAAATCTCCGTCTATTCTTCTTCAAGCTCCTAATAGAGTCCTAGCTCCTAAGTGAGTGTCTGAGTTAGAATCAGGTTGGAAAATGCTTAAAACATTTTAAATTATTTTAAAAGGTTGAAATGAAAAAAAAAATCACCCAAGTTGAGAAGTTAATTATGGACAGAATAAAACCATTAGTAAACGTGCTGACATAAGTCACAATGAGAAATGGAACCAAAAGAACACAGAGAGCGAAAGGGAGGGAGGAGAAGGGGCGGGGGGAGGGCTGGCCCTTCCTGCGAGGACCCTCATTTCCTGATTTCTCCAGACACCCTTGGAGGGAGGCACTCCCATGCCGCCCTTGTCCTCACGGGTCTGACGGAATGATAACCCAGCAGCAGGTGGCCCGGTGCACACAGTAAGACGGGATTTCTCAGTCATCCTTTGGGGAGGGAGGGCACACAGGCTGGAGATGTGGCCAATTCTGCTGGCAGAGCTTAAGAAGTAAAAAAATACCTCAAACAGCCCCCGACCCATTCTGGGGGGGGGGGGGGGGAGGGAGGGCATACACCTCTACCCTCCAAACAAAGCAAAGCAAAACCAAACCAAACCAATCTTCTCCCTCCTAAAGAAAACCCAGGAAACTGCCCTGTGAAGTCCTGGGGTGTGCAGTCCAATCTGGGAGGTCACTTGGTTTTGGATTCCACATAGATCTTATCTCCATCCCTAATGCCGAAGGAGTGCAAGGCCCGGGAGCTGTACTTCATCTCCTCGGGGCCGAAGGGCGCCTCGTGGTCGAAGTGATAGAGCAGCATGCTGCTCGGGGGCAGCTGCACGAGGCTTTTTAATTGTTTCTTTAGTTCTGCGACTGTCTGGTCCAGCCGAATGCTCATTTCTTCCACCTGATCGTTAAAGTGGACTTCTACTTTTGCACTGCTCTGGGGTCTTAGATCCACTTCTGCCAAAGGCTCCAACTTCCCATACTTTGTGATCAGTTCGTGATACCTGGAAGGATAAATAGGCAGTGTGAGCTGAAGCCACTCGCAATGGAGTACAGGCGATTTCCCAACTCCTGGTAAATCACACAGCTGCCCACGGCATCTTTCTAACATCCTCGCCCAGTGATGGCGGACCTGTGACACGCGTGTCAGAGGTGACACGCGAACTCATTTATTTTTTTGGTTGATTTTTCTTTGTTAAATGGCATTTAAATATATAAAATAAATATCAAAAATATAAGTCTTTGTTTTACTATGGTTGCAAATATCAAAAAGTTTCTATATGTGACACGGCACCAGAGTTCAGTTAGGGTTTTTCAAAATGCTGACACGCCGAGCTCAAAAGGTTTGCCATCACTGGCCTAGTCCCAGGTTCTGTCTAAGTCTCTGATGACCACTGCGGGAACTGAGATCAGAAATGGTTGCCCTTTGAGCTCACAGTGAAACCGTGTTCTTGTGGACAGTCTCTCCTGAAGATGGTCCCCGTGCCTGCTGTCCCTTCTTACTAAGAAAGGCTCAGTGAGAACGGAGCCTAAAGAGAGAACACGACGGGAACCACGGAGAGGAGTCCAGTTTGTAGAAGTTGCTTTCCTGGTGCTTCATAAAGAAGGCGGGTCTAAGCACTGCTCCTTGGTAACAGCTGGGAAGGGGGAAGTAGGCTGGCAGTTCCTGAACCCGAAGTCCTATATTACAAACACCCAGGGGTGTGTTAGCCTGTCTGAATGATCCAGCCTAGTCTCAGTGGCTACCATACAAGGAATTTGTGGAAAAGTCAAGAATAAATTCTTGTAAAAAAGTGGTAAATGGGGGATACAAGTTCCTTGATCAAGGCAGTAATAAAGAGCAAAAAATACCAAGAGGAAAGTGAATTACAGAGGTGAGTCTAGTGCCCCCAAGATCAAGTTCCCACATGGGAAATCTTGTTTCCACTAACAGCCTTGGAGGATCTGATTTTATTGAGGAAGCTGAGCAGTTTCCTAAAAACTAGAGGACAATGCTGAAAAGATCCGATATTAGCTTTACTGTAACCAAGACTATAATAAGGTTACTTCATGATCAGAATACAATAGTCACATAAGATTATTCCCCACCTCTCCCCCCCCTACTTTTGGTTTTAACTTAGTTAAATCGGTGCTAAATTAAGGTTGGCAGGAACATAGACAACGCAGTGAGATGTCTGGTCAGAGATGGAGGCAAGCATTTCCACCACAGCAGAGTCAGGGTAAGGCCAAGTGGCACTGGCCTTGGAGTCGGAGACTCTCTTACGATTAGCCGTGTGACTCTCTTACCATTAATCACATGACTCTCTTACCATTGGCCACATGACTCTTACGATTAGCCACGTGACTCTCTTACGATTAGCTGTGTGACTTGGAAACTTGCTCAATCCTTTTGGATTTCAGATTTCTCATTAGTAAAATTGGGATAATGAATCTGCCCTTCCTACAAGATAGTCTTAAGAATTATCTAAAACCAGAGGCTGAGCACACGATTAAATCGTGCGTGTGTAGGGTACCCTAGGCCTAGCCTGCCATCATGGCCACGTCTGCCCTCCCATGACACCTCGCACGCTCTGTGGACACTGCTGGCACCCCGCCGCACCCACTGCGAGAGCCGCTGCTCATTTGGTCGTGACGCCATTACGGCATCATGACTACAGGCCTTTTATGATATAGATAACAGGTGAGTAACACTTTGTAAATTAGTTTCATAACAAATAAAAAAATACGAACATTACATTCCTACTGTTCTGGAATTTACATTATTAAAACACACACACGACTTAGAAAATATATAATTAAAGTATATTTAGGTAGAACTTCTTAGAAAAGGTAGGGTTATGATGAAGCAAATTACAAGACTTGAGCCCAAAGTAGTACTTTTAAAAAGGGTAAAGAAATCACCAGCAGCAACTAACAGAAGAAGAGATCCAACCAAAGGCTGTCATCATCAATTCAATGCCAACAGGAGTCCCCGTATGTGGTGTGGCAAAGGGGGAGAATTTACTCAGGGAAAACAGCTCAGCTAAGATGTGGAACAGTGTGGCTGAAGCAGCTCACTTAAAAACAGCTTGGCTGAGACCACTCAGGTATGAAGTAGCTCAGGCAAAGGGGCTCAGGTGTTACAGCTCCAGTCAGGGGAAGGCAGTCATGATGGAAACTGAATGTGTCCTCCATTGAGACAAAGGTGAAGCTGACTTATGTAGAGAAGAGAGTCTGCACCCAGTCCCTGATTGGTCCATTTGTATGCAAGTAGGGACTCCACATCTATATCAGTCCAAATAGCACTGTCCTGATCGGTCAGAATGGAATGCTCTGATTGGTCAGTGAGGAGCAAATATATAGCTGCACAGCTCCAATTAGACAAGGAAAGTCTCAGTCCTATTGGCCAAATTTCAATCCTAGGATCTCTCTTGTAAGGGTCAACTGAGACAGCAGGAGCCCAGTGCAGGAGGTTTGGTCGCCCGGTCTGTGGCTTACCCTGAAATGCAGAGTGCATGAGACCTCCGTAAATAATGGCTGCTAGACTCAGGTATGAATTTGAGTCTAATTACCACAAAAACTCCTATTTGGAGGTATATTCTTTCTTGGGTCAACAGAGGGAATAACCTTCTTGCCATAATCTTTTAAAAGGAAAGAAAAATCTGAATTAGTGGATGCATAAATTGGATGAGCTTTCTCATTTTTCTGTTCCAACCTCTTCCCGAAATACCTTCCTGAACTGCAAAGATTGGTACTGAAAACTACATTTCCCACACCCCTTTGCAGGTGAGCTTTAGCTTCTATCAAGCACATTCAATTCCCCTGGGGTGAGAAATAATGAATCTAGCAGGCACAATTTGGGTAGAGGCTTCCTAATTACCAGACTGTAGTTCAAGCAGTGTGTTCCTGGCCATAGCTTGCTGATCTCCAGATCCCAGCTAAGGTGGTGTGACTCAGCACCAGGACATCACTTCTTGAGTCTCTCCTTATAGGGCTCCTGCAGAGGTAGCAGTGCCCTTGGTCAGCTCGTTCTGTGGTAGCATTCTAGAGACAGACCAGTTCTAGGGAGACAGACCTTCCAAAGATGTTGTAAGCATCTTATTTTCTGTATTAAATTCCTTTCTTCTTAAAATAGCTACTGTGAGGTGATGTCGGGGAATGGCAGCATGCAAGATTCCCTTGGTCTCTCCCCTTGAATTTTTGACAATTTCAACAGCTATAACTAAACAAAGGATTCCCTGCTCAATGCACAGTCACCTGAGAAATCCACACATTGAAACATCTAAAGGTGGGTGAGTTGAACAAACTGGGGCGGTGAGAAGAGAGAAGAAATCCAGTTGTGGCTGGCACTCCACACAGCAGGGAGGAGCAGAGAGATTCCAAGGACACTCCTGCAGCAATGAGCAGTAGGAGCTGCAGCTGAGCCCAGGGAGCTAGGCAAGGACACAGCATGGGGTACGGCTGTGGTTGCCTGGTGACCAGCATTCCCAACAGAGAAACAAAGCCACAGAGCCCTGACCCTCTGTAGCCTCCCAGAGCTCATCTCCCTTTGCCCTTGGTGTCGGGCAGCAAAGCACATTATCTGCAAACCCAAGAACAGGTACGACAGAATCACTTTATCCCGGGGCTGGGTGCAGGGGGAACCCTGTAAAGGTCTAAGGCAGCCGGCCCGTTTGAAATGAATGAAACTATTGAAAAAAAAGACCGTACCCTTTTATGTAATGATGTTTACTTTGAATTTATATTAGCTCACACAAACAGTCCATCCCTGCTTTTGTTCCGGCCCTCCGGTCCAGTTTAAGAACCCATTGTGGCTCTCGAGTCAAAAAGTTTGCCCACCCCTGGTCTAAGGTCATCATTACCAGGAGGGCAAAACAACGAAGAAGCTGGCCAGTTCCCCAAGTCCACCCCACCCCTACACATTATGGCTACCCAGATGGGAGCCTCTCTCTGGCTGCGGAGGACAGCACTGGGATATCATAGAGCTAAGAAAACTTGTGCTATTCAGTGCCACCTACTGGAAAAGAATAGAAAGACTTCTTCATAGTAATCTGTTAGAGAAGTGCCACTTATACATTGATGTCGAGACAGAGAAGGAATCCATCAAATGCCATGAGTAAACCAAGGGAGCAAGGCAACTCAGAAAGAAACTGAAAAATCTCCAGTAAGCAAACTTAAAGACATAAAAATAAGTGATATAAATGACAAAGAATTGAAGACTACACTTCTGAAAATACTCAATGAGATGTGAAAAAATACAGGCAATTTAATGAGCTCAGAAAACAAATCAACAAACAAAATGAGTACTTTACCAAAGAGATTGAAAAAAGAACCAAACAGAAATTCTGAAGATAAAGAACTCAATAAAAGAGACCAAGAATGAACTAGCAATCACTGGAAATACAGTGGACCAGATGGAGGAAAGAATTAGTGATATTGAAGACAGAAATCTAGAAATGTAGCAGAGGAAAGAGAGACTAAAGCATGAAAAAAAAAAAGAAAAGAAAAGAAAAATGAAAGGACTCTACGAGAACTATGTGACTCCAGCAGAGAGAGCAATATGAAAACAGGCATACCAGAAGAAGAGAGGAAGGGAAGAAGAGCTTATTCAAACAAATAGTTGATAAGAACTTCCCAAACTTAATGAGGGAACTAGAGCCTAGAATCCAAGAAGCAAATAGAATATCTAAGTACCTCAACCCAAGGAGGCCTTCTTCAAGGCACACTGTATTAAAACTGTCAAAAATTAAAAGAAAGAATTATCAATGTAGCCAAGGAAAAGAAGAACGTAACCTATAAAAGGAAAACCATCAGAATATCATTAGACTTCTCAGCAGAAACCCTACAAACCAGAGGAGAGTGGAACCAAATGATCAAACTACTGAAAGAGATATTACCTGCTAAGAACAATATATCCAGCAAAGTTATCATTTAAATGTGAGAAATAAAGACTTTTCTAGACATACAGAAGCTGAGAGAACTTATCACCAGAAGAACTTCAATGCAGAAAATACTCACGGGGGAT